AGAGAGAGAGAGAGAGAGAGAGAGAGAGAGAGAGAGAGAGAGAGAGAGAGAGAGAGAGAGAGAGAGAGAGAGAGAGAGAGAGGGAGGTGACGAAGACTTGAGTAGCGCAAAAAAAAATTCTTTAAGAAAGAGCGTGACAATGCAAAGCTTGCTGGCCTATGCCTCGACCCATTTCGATCTCATCGCCAGCATGAGATCATCCTCAGGAGCCTTCGTGAGGGCACATTTGGCATTACTTCTTGCTGCACCAGAGTCGATTTCCAGTTCCATCAAACATCCTCTCTAGATCATCTTTCCTGCTTTCTTCTGCATTTCCTATCAGTCCTGCGAATGATATGCTATACCCAGAAAAGAGGACAATTGCTACCCGATCACGGGTATGGACAGGAAACGAGGCTCAGCTACCAGACGCGTCGAGAAAGGTAGGGAAAAACGGAGAACCGCAGCTCAGAGAAGGGGTTTGCATGAGGGGGTTGCAGGGAGAATAAAGCACCCGCGGGAAAGAATTAGAGAGACAAGGGAGATATGGGGAAAGAAGAGAAGAAAAAAGAAAAGACAGAAGGAAGTGAGGGTTGATAGAGGGGTTGCAGGGGTGGTAGGGGGGACGGCGATGGTGTGGGAGAGGGTATGAGGGGGGGAAACGGAAAAATGGATGACGAGAGAAAACATGCCACATTGGGATGGTGGGAAACAGAAGCAGGAGCTTACACTGCGGGGAGCTGGTGACGTCATGGCAGATATATAAGAAGAAGACAGAAGGATGACGTGAGAAGCCCGAGGAGATGATGGCTGGTGAAAAGGACAGTGAAAAAAATGCTTGGTCCACTTACCCAGCCGACCTGTCCTTTTCACCAAGAGTTGATTATCGGCGGCCGCCCTTCCGGTTCAGGCTAGCGCATCAACTCTTGGTGCATGAATGCGGTAAAGGGCCTTTGTTGTTGAACCACCAGTACCTTTCCCAACTATTTTTTCAGAGTTAAGCCACCAGTACTCCGCCCAGCTATCGGCCGTAGCACTTTCCTGTTAACGCGCCGCGCCTTTAGGGCTTCGGGGTACCAGACCACAATGGCTGGAAGCGCCAGCCAAAAAAAAATTGAAATGGTACCCCGGCGCTTCGGCAAAAATTGGCGCGCAGGGGCATTCCAGGCTCGGCATCGATAGCTGGGCCAAGTACTGGTGGTTTAACGCGCTAGCCTGAAACGGAAGGGGGCCTGCCGATAAATCAAACCGGCGGCCAGTCTTGATTTTCGGGCGGGTGCGCAGTGCGGCGGAAAGGTACTGGTGGTCGTCGAAGCGCAAGGCTTTCCTCAGCATACCCTTGGGTCTTGCAAGCCAGAGTGAGGGATCAAAGGATAAATCATAGTGCGGTGAGCTTACCTTTAATGGGGAAAATGTCCTAAGCCATCTTCAGCCTCTTTGAGGCAGAACGAAAACAGGGACGATATGATCCACATTTTTTTTCACAAAATCACCATTCTTGCATGTCAGAGGATCTCCCAATTCATTGTACCCAGATTGGCAGAACCAAGCTGAGACTGCCACTTGCTGGCCAAAAACACCATTCTTGCCCGGAATCAAATCTTCCTTCCTTTGTACCCATTGTCCAGTCTGAAGAGGGCGATGGCGCAATTGTTGAGTCCAGTCCTCTGGGATAGCTTTCAAAACTGCAGCCAACCGTAGTGGGTTCCGCCGTGAACGGAGTTCATTTCTCTAGCTTTTTTGCTTTCTTTTCCTTTTCTTTTCTTTCCTTTTCTTTCCTTTTCTTTCCCCTTGGGAGGTGTCGGTGTGAGCTTTTTGGAACTGGGTTTATTTCTCTAGCTCTTCTTCTTTTTTTTTTTTTTTTTTTTTTTTTTGTTGATAAAATAGATCCTTATGACTCTGGCTCCATATCCATTATGGGGAGCATCAGTATGGTTCCTATTCCACCGGCAAGTCAAAAGTACAGTGTGTCCCCTTCCCTAGAGTTACCTGTTTTCTGTCCCAAGCCCTTCCCCTGTGTCCCGAGTCCACGTGTGCTCTGTCCCCTTACCCTCCTTGCAATACCTCACTTCTTTACTTTGACTCTCTTCCTCTCTCTATGGCGATTTGTTTGACCTCGATAGTCCCCAGGCTATGGCTATCCCGTCTTCGCTGCTTGTGCTGGCTGAGCGCAGGCCCGTTTCCGCTCAGCCTTGTTGGCATGATCGCTCTGCCGCTCATATTTATCGTCATGTTCGTCCGCGATGGAGCCTTTGTCCGCGCTCGTGATGGCTGGATGCTTGGCGATGGCACAGGTGCGTTAGCGCTCGGCTCCGCGCTTCCCCGGTGACGCGTCGCGGTTTCCTCTAGCTCGTCTTTCTTTTCTTTCCTTTCCTTACTTTTGGAGAGGTTCTGCAGATTGAAGTTTTAATTTATAACAAAAGAAGAGTCTGCTCCCAGTATAACTCCCGGTTGAATTGTGAGCTCCCTGGCCTCAAACTCCTTTTCAATATATTGAACTGTTTTTTTTTTTTTTTCTTTTTTTTTTTAAAGGAGTCTTTGTTTGCAAATTTTCTGTCAGCCCATCTCTGTTTGCATTCTTGCTTACTTACTGCCATTGGCACATCCCCTCGTTGATGATGAATGCATCCTTTTCTTCCTATCAACATTATTTGTGCTTGTTTAGCTGGAAGAATTGATCGTTCCAACCTGGAAACTCTCGCTGATCTCTGCATCAAACATCCCAAGTCCTGGTACGTAACATGGCAGACATGTGGAACTGTTGTCACAAAAATCATTACACATTTTCAGATTTCAGATCGTTACACTCTATTATTTCAAATTCTGACAATATTATTTCAATGACCGTTCGTTGTATTCGGGTGACGAGGGTAGCACCAGACTGTTTGACAGGACCCCGGCTATAGTACCCATCACTGGTCATAATATGTCAGGTACATTCACGAAAGACTTTGTGAGAGGGTGTTTGGTGAGTTGACTGTCCATAGTTTATCGTCATTCACCACTCTTCTGCCCTCTTTTTTTTTTTTTTTTTTTTTTTTTGAACCCGCAACCTCATACCACAATGCGCATTTCCAACAGGTGCTCTAACAACTGAGCCACATCAACTTGACCAGGTCATGAGCTATTGTCCTCTTCTCCCTCTCTGCCTACGGTGTTTGACAATGGGCCTCGCCACACCTATCCCGAAAACACCGATTTGGAGAGGAAACGCATCGCCATACCAACTCTCTCTTTTTCCTTTTTTTTTTTTTTTTTTTTTTTTTTTCAGAGAACAATCCTGCCAGCATTGATTACCTGGAATACAGGGGATTGACTGAGCAGGACATTTGGAAAGAACTTGGGAGAATGAATTTTTAGAACAACAACCGGAGAAAACCTGCCAGTATTAACTGCTCTGGGCTCCAGAACCAAACCAGCCGTCCCTAATCTGAAGACGCCATGGGCAGGCGAGCAGCAGGAGTCCAGCTGATCCCCTTCCCCTTCTGTATCTCTTCATCTGGTCAGGGTCCGGGAGGAGCCACTGGGGGGCACCAGTGGGTCCTCCCATCACCCAGTCCTTCCTCGAACGGTCCCCTTGCAACCATGCAGCCATGCAGCCATCTGCTGGGTGTAACCAGCTGTCATCCTTCCCTGCTGTATCAGAATGTTGGACTCTCTCCTTTTTACAATGGCATCTATTGGATTGCATCAGAAAAACTTGTAGGAGGATCTTTCCCGTATCACCCTGGAGTTTAGGGGATTGTCTGAGCAGGGGGGACCCCTTCACCCTGAATTCGGCGCCAGCTTTCCACTGCTACGTACTGGTCCCTCCCGCCCCACAAAAGCCCCAGTCTCTTTCCTGATCTGGTCCTTATCTCATTCTACAGCTGTTGCCGACCTCCTCCCGTCTCTCTGGCCATACTTCGAAACCCACCCCCCATCAGAGGGACCTCCTTCCGATGCCCTACAGTCTCTCAAACTTTTTTGCAAAGAATTCCACCTGCTCCCTCCGTGTCATACTGCCGGGAGCCAGATGGGGATGAAAAAAGCAAAACAGAAAAAAGGCGGCTTTGACACTGCAAAAGGCTATAGTTGCTCTTCTGACCTAGAATGCCCAGTAATTATAGATGTATTTGGCACAACGTTTGGTCCAGATGCAGCGATAATGACCGGGCATCTTTTTTTTTTCTTTTCTTCTCTTCTCTTTTTTGAACTAAGCTATATTCTTCTCTCATATGCCTCACGGTACCTAACCCCCTACCTAGGTCCAGTTTCATTTTTGAATGTTGCAGCCATGGAGTGCCCTAAGCGTTATGGGTTGACACTTGGCACCGCTGCAATTCCCTAACACCTGTGCGCTAGAAGGCGGATTCAAGACACCTCCTAACCAACCAGGAGGGGCAAGCCAGCTTTATCAGCTGATGAACCCGAAGAATGCCACAGGGGGCCATGGGGGATCGAATGGAAGATGTATGAATTGAGCCCACGACCTCCTGAATGCCAGTTCCGTGCTCTATCAGCTGAGCTAGGCCACCTGGGCATTCTATTCGGGTGAAGACGGTAGTCCGAGGTTGGCAGGAAACGGACATGCTAGGTGCCCGTGTACAACTCTAAGCAAAATACATGTGAGCATATGTTATTAGGACCTCAGACCATGCATTTGTCCCGCCAATCAAATATTGACAGCAAGCCAAAGAGCAAAGGATGTGAAGTTTACTGGCAACTTGTGTCAAGATGGGTCAGGAAAAGAGAAATTGTGAAGGTTGTCAAATAAATTTACAGGGAACTCCAGCCATGCGCACACTGGCCCCAGGTAAGTCCCAGACTCCCTCTCCCCTCTCCCCCCCCCCCCCCCACACACAAAAAACAAAACAAAACAACAACAACAACAACAACAACAACAACAACAACTTTACAAGAAACTTGGAATATAGAACAACATCAAAATTGAAGGTGATCAAAACATTCAGCAACCTGGCCCAACCTATAAGATAGATAAAAACAATCATGGATATCATAAAGAAAAAGATGATGTGAGTTTTAATTTCATGGCGTCATCACCTCTCCCCCACCAATCCCTGATTCAAACACCATCAAGGACCAACTCATCCCATCTACTCATACGCCACTCAAGTTGAGGATTCGACCTACGCCTACTCTCTATAAATTAGTATAAATATGTTTGTTACGAACTTACGAGCAATCATAGGCGACCCAACACAGTCGCCTCAGGGAGGAAACTGATTCCCGCGTTCAATCTGGGTCAGGGCTTTCACGTCCGATCCAATTCCGACCTCGATCCGTGAAATCGTCTTATGCCGTATGTACTGATTTATTTTGGGAGACAGGGTTCAAGCCAGGATATCAATTTCTTGTGCAAAGAAGAGCCATACTAATATTACGCTCGCGAGATGAGTAATTGGTAACTGGTCAGGGTCATAATTTGAATGTTGTAGGTTCAAATCCTAGTCCCGCCAATCTTCCACCAATCTCTATTGGATGGAGAGAAGTTCCAACTAATTGTTCTGATAGATTAGATATAGATAAGATAAGGCGACCGACATATGGCATGCCCTGACTGACAGGCGTGCCGTCCTCTCTGTCGTCAAGGACAGACTCATTCTTGAACCTTCCCTTATCCTCTCCTTTGCCTTTATTTTCATTCCACACTCTGTACTTTCCCTTACTTTCCCTCGGTCGTTCTTGATATTTGGTGTGGTCGCCGACTCTCCGTTGAGTTGGGATGGGAGGGGTTGATGAGGTCTGTCCTCATTGTTATCAGCACCATTTATATATGTATATATATTGTCACATATCTATGAACTAAAAGAGTGCACTTTGCGAAACAAATGGTAAAAGTTGAAAAAACAAGACCAACATGAGGGGCACACTGAAACCATTCATTTTTCTCTTTCTTCTTTTAAATTCCTCTTCACCGTGTCTCTCACGTACAAGACTCGCCATGTTAATGAAGTTGAGCGTGAGCTGCCCGCATCCCTGTGTGCCATAACAGCCCACTTGTACGCTGTGAGAAAGAGGCAGAGGATTGACACAAGGAAGAGAGATGAAGACAAGACGAGGAAGGGCAGGAGGAGGAGGACGAACAGAGGGAGGACGAGTCGGAGGAGACGGAAAGGAGAAGGGAGGAGGAGACATGGAGGATGAGGAAGGGGAGGAAGAGCAAGGTGAGGGAGCACTCCTGTAATTTTTTTTTCATCCCGCTAATAATTTTGGTGGKGGGCCTCAAATGCACCGTTTCGACCCCGACCTTCTTTTTTTTCTTCTGAGGGGGGTGTTAGGTCGTTACCCGCACACGTCGTGCACCGCACGGGATCGGTTGGGCGCGTGCGCCGCACGTAGGGAACCGCCCGCCTGGCGTGCGCTTGCAAGTATGGTCCAAATACAAGTGAATAAATTAACGTATAATTTGATATAAATGAAATGTGCCTGGTTATGAGAGAAACTGAACTACCCATCAACCGTTTAACACAATTACCTTGGCTTCCCGTTGGCATATTTAAGTCGAAACCCCAGCTTCAATGATGGACCGTTTGCAGACATAGCGACTAGATGTATGACTGTGAGAAGTACAACCATGTACATCTTGTTGAGATCTGGATATTTCAGGTTTTCTCCTTCCTTTGCCTAGATGATGGGAATGATTGTGAAATGCCATGTCCTTGGAGTCAAAGTCACCTTATTTGTGTAGAAAAAAGAAAGTAAAGTTAACCTTATTACGCTCAAGAATCATTGGGAGTTCTGTATGCTAAGAACAGAAATAAGTCTGGCTACAAAGGAAACTAATCTACCCATCAACTGTTTGACACACAGTTTTTTTGGCTTGTTGTTGGCATATTTATCTCGAACCCAGGTCCGACTATGGATGCTTGCAGATGGGCTTCCTTCCTTTGTCTGTATGATGGGAATGATTTTGTCGGAAATGTCATTTCCTTGGAAGCAAGGAAACCCTACTACGTCAATGAAGTCTGGGATTTCTGCACAAAGGTAGGCCGCTGTGCCACATCAGCTGGCATACTGATCACCGTGTTCCAACGTCCTAATACAGCTGTCTTCTCCTCGTATACGGGGGACAACCTGTAATTTTGCTACCCTACCCAATGGGTCGCACTTATTCCAGAGGAAGCAGTTTCTCTACTCAGGAGCCAGCCTTAAATGTACTAACCATGCCTGAGCTATCCTAAGATTAAGTGTGTACTCCTACCTGACTCTGCTCTGTACGGGAAGCAGCACCCATCTCCTAACACCTGGCGTGGGCTGGAAAGTAAGCGGACACCAACACTTCCACTACCACTACCACTCAGCAGGGACAAGCCGCCTTTTCTCAATCGGTGAAGCCAAAGCATACCAAACAGGGGGTCGTGGGGAATCGAACCCACGGCCTCCCATGTGTGCTCAACCAACTGAGCTAGGCTGCTTGGTCGTCCTGTGTACCATATGATTTCATCTGACACGGAAAAAAAAAGAAGACTCTATCGGATACAGTCCCTTCGATCCATGAAAATACTGCCTATCCGACCAATCCTTCTTTTTTTTTTCTTTTTCTTTTCTTTTTTCTGGGTAGCCCCTAACCTTATTGTATCTATCTTGGGCAGCAGGACTTGAACTCATGAGGTGCTTTTTAAAAAATCTCATGCAAGGTGCATCGGAGAAAAGTGGCTGGGAAACATACTGGTGGTTTGACAATAAATGTTATGTTACCTGCTGTTTCTACACTTCTGGAGCAGAGATAAGCAGAAGGGTGAAGGATGCACGTCGTGCAACAATAAATATGAATTTTGTAAGCATGTATTCTCTGTGATGGTAAAGCCTAATACATCTTTCAATTTTGTGATCGTGGGGAGCAGCACGTGCTGGGAACCGGGCCCAGCATCCCATATGATCTGCTTCTTAACAGTTGTATGTTATACATTCAGCAACATGGTCCGAGTTAAATACTGCCTATCCTTTTTTTTTTTTCTTTTTTTTTTCCCACAAGTCATTTTGGGAAATGGCTTTTGGCTTGTCTGTCTTTCATGAAGCCTTTTTGAAGCCTTATCCATCTTGCGGAATGTTCCACTGCTTGTTTTCATTGAACTCTAGTAGGGATTGTCAGCAGAGTGCTATTGTTCTGCTCATGCAATGACAGCGTGAGATATGCAAGAGTTCAGCAGGCTGTGGTACAGTCTCAAGAGCACATATTCACCTTGTGTGCAATGCATCTGCTCTGTGCGTGGACTACGTCTGTCAATTAGATTGTGCAATGCTAATGGAACTTGATGCTGTGGAGCTGAATGCAAGACGCCTTTGTTTTTTTTTTTGTTTTTTTTTTAAGAATCTTGCTGGTGTCATCAGAAAGGAGTGATGATAAGAGCATACACTCCTTCCTAACTAACGGGAGGCTCCAATCTATTGGTGGGGAGCAACGCCTGCTGGAAAGCGGGTCCAGCGTCCCCTTGGATACAATGGTATAGATTCTATAGAAAGTCCAAGTAGACCAAAACAGCTGCACTTCAGACACAGCTTCCCCCAAGGCTAATACTACTGAACTAGCTTTGTGCCTCTTCACCCAATCTGAGTGCAAGAAAGACTTGAATACCAAGCACTTAACCAGTTGTAACCATAGTACCATCAGCGGAGGAAACCATACTCTTGTACTTTCAAAGGATCTATTCATACCACGCAGCAGGCACAAGACAGTTAATTGGAGGTGGGGAAAAAACAGCGAATTCAGAAAGAGGTCTTAGAGGAATAGCAGGATCTACGGTACTCCAATCATTGAAAACCAACCGGTAAAAAGACGCCTTGAAATTATGCTTTAGTCATTCTGTGAAAGTTCATTGTTGCAGGGCCCTCTTTCTCATAGTCTAAGATGGTGTCCTTCCAAGTCGTTCTCCAGAGCCTGTGCTGGAGGTTATTTATGTTTGATACGGTGCCTGTGTGCAGGGGTTTCTAATGTGTCATTGTTTTGTTGTCGGTCTCCATATGTCGCTCACACTTCTTGAGATCCGTCGCCAAGAACAGGCAATATTTCTGGTTTCTATGCACCGGATAATACAGACGTTCATTTCAGCCCTCCTATCGATCCAGCCACATCCATCCAACGGATTCCAACCCTTTGCTAGCCAGGTTTGTCTCCCCAACCAGAACACCACTGTCTAGGTTGTTTAAACCAGCAGTACTTCCGAGCCACTTTTGCCCGGGGCTCCAGATGCCCTGCACGCCAAAGAAAAACGAAACGACGCAGGCCTTGTTTTGGCTGGCGCCACCAGCCTTTTCGCTCAGGCTGCCAACTCCCCCCGAAAGTTGCCGCAGCATGCAAGGTGCATCGGAGAAAAGTGGCTGGGAAACATACTGGTGGTGGTTTAACAATAAATGTTATGTTACCTACCATTTCTACACTTCTGGAGCAGAGATAAGCGGAAGGATGAAGGATGAACGTTGTGCAACAATAAATATGAAATTTGTAAGGATGTATTCTCTGTGATGGTAAAGTCTAATACATCTTTCAATTTTGTGATGTGTATATATCTGATGATTCTGATCTCATCCCTGAAATGAAGTTGTAAGCACTATCCTTTATAAAAGGGTTGCGGGCAGCAGGGGGGTTCACGCGCCAGGTTCAGCCCACCTGTCAGCAGAGCGGACCCACCCACTCACTCTTTTTTTTTTTTGGGACTCAACCACTCACTCAGGGATCACTCAAGACCAGGACTCTCAGAGGAGGGGGAGAAGAGAGACCTTGCTGCACACACCCGAGAGGCGGTTAACGGAGGCCCAAAATTTCAGCGTTTTTTTAATGCTATTTATAAGAAAACCAGAAGCCCTTTTTAACCAAAAATTGCATCACTCCATAGAGTGCACACCATATTAACAAACCATTAAAAAAAAAAAACAGGGTGAAACAGTAAGGCAAAAGTGCACTTGAATGACATTTTGGATTCAGCAAATTTTCAGAATTTTTAGCGTTTTTGGAAATGGTCTTATCAGAGGAAATTCCAATGCTCCAAATGCGACCAAATTTGGTACACAACAACCTTGAAGTAAGACAAAAACAGGMAAAAAAAAAAAAAAAAAAAACAACATAAAATTTCACCCCAAACCCTAATTTCAGTTTTGGACCTATTACTCAGGAGCTGAAATTGGGGGTCCCCCGTGGTTAAGGGAACTCGGGCACGTTAGTTGGCAGAATTGTTTTGAACTTGACATGATCTCAGGCTGACCCGTCGTTACTTGTCAAACTCCCTCGATTCATGCTGGTGGACATGCTCTCATGCAGTGGTCATCTGGCCAGTTCATCGTGCGACATGACGCCCAACCCACGGTGTTGAAGGTTTATGTCGAGCTAAATGTATGTCACTCAGGTGAGGACTGTGCATTCCTGCTGGGCAAACCACAGTCGCCTCGATTGCTGTAGAAAAGGAAAGGGAAAAGAAACAAGGGAGGCTCCGGGTTATCCATGGAGGACTGCATCTGCTCTGAAACCAGGTCCAGCATCCCATGGCCTGGTGACTGTAGATTTGCAAAACAATTGCTGAAAACCAGGGCCAGCATCCCTCAAGTGTCACGCAACCGCAACAAGAAACCTCTTAACCCCAACGCTTCCCGCCATTATGGTCAAGTGAACCATGAAAGATGACCACATTAATTGATTGCGTCCTCCAGGAAGGATTCACCACCCATTGAATACACCGGAGTTAGTGACAGCAAGAAGAAACCTTCTTAACCCCAACCCTTCCCTCTGTTCTGGCCCTGGATATTTGTATTCTCTTTAAATGTACGCTCCTTGGATTTCTCTCCAACTCCTGGCTTGACAGAGTAGCTTGAAAGAACACTTTACTCTAGAACCCAAGAAAAGAGAGCTAGAGCCTTCACTTTTCAAGTAGAGAAAACACTACATCATATCATATCATGCTTCTTCTTCTTTTTTCCTTTTTTTTTTTCAAGACAATAGGCTCCTTCTATTCTGGGGAGCAGCAGTCCAGTTCCTTTTTTTTTTTTTTTTATGTGTCATGCTTGCGCAGGGGCCATGCTAATGTTCTCTGTATCGTTCCAATTTTAACGGATGTCCCGAAGGACACAGCAGTCCAGTTCCTTTTCCACCAGCAATTCAGAAAATACGTAGTACTCACGCACACACCTCCCCATTATGGCTGGGAGGTCCAAGTGGGCAGCATTGATTACTTTCCTTGGGAAGGATGTACCCCCTCTCACCCCTGCCTAAGTTAGCCTCATTGATTACTTTCTTGAGGAGGGTGTACCCTCTCTCAACTCTGCCTAAAGTCGAGCCTTTATCTTAGATGGTCACCAGAATGTCCCCTCTGTCCCTACACTTCCCCTTATCGGCAGTGCCAGAGCTACACGGCTTGGGTCCCTCTCCACTTCTTTTTCTTGTTTTTTTCCCCCTTTCTTCGAGGGCGACATCATCGCTGAACTGACCGGCCCCAGGTAAATTCCATCAGGATTCGAACTCTGGCTACCACCACCTAAGGAACAAAAACTGGTCCCCACAAGCGGAAAATAACAGAGGAAGGAATCATCGACAAGCCATTAAGGAACCCCCTCATAGACATTGGGTGACACAGATTAACATCTGGAGAGAGGCCTTCCCAGAGAAAGAAAGCCAAAATTGAAAGAAGAAGTGCTGAGGCAGCCCCTTTTTGGCGACTCACTACTGCTAGATAACAATGACAAACCATGGACACTAAGACGCAAAACTAGATGCTCAAGAAGATGGGTAGAACAACATATATGGAAAGTGGAGCATCTGTGGAATGAAAATGACATATGATTGAAATCAGGAATATAGCTTAGAGATAGACTGAAAGGTCGTCACAAGCTAGAAATAAATCTTGGGGAGTTCTTAGAAAAAGCATCCCCCTCAGTCAAGTGGGAAAGGGGCTGAGAAGAGGGACAGCGATGAAGTATGCAGAAACTACAGCCTGATGTTTGGGGATTGGACAGGTAGATCCAGTTACACCTATGAGAGTTTTGACAGACTTCCCAGACCCCTTTCCCCCATCTTCAAGTTCCATGATCCCAAGGTCTTGGTATGGTTATGAGTAATCTTCCATGTGATGAATGTCTTTGGTTTGCAAGCCCCCAATGAGGATTAGAGGTTTCATAGCTAGTATTAGAAGTTAGATCTGGCGCCCTCACATGGGGTGAAGAGGCTGTGATTACCTCTCCAGGTGGGGGACCGTTTCCCCCAAGCATCATTCATCATCATCATTAGTATCATTATCTCACATTTCTCATACAATCATTAGAAGTTTATCATCATCATCATCATCACTATCAGCATCAGCATAATCATCATCATATGAGGGCCGCTGAGCCCGGTCCTCAGCTTTGTTCGGATCGGTTTCTCTGGGTAGACTGTGAGGACCCCGGCCTCAATCTTCTTATTGGTAATATCAGCCTTGGGCACTGGGCCCGGTTTGTTTAAAAAAATAAGAAAAAAAGCAGACAAAAAAAAGAAAAAAAAGAAAAAAGAAAAAAGAAAAAAGAAAAAAGAAAAAGCATCCCCCTAGAATGGAGAACACTACTAAAAGGAGAAATCAAATGGGAAGTAGAAGATTTGGCAACAGATGGGTGCTAAGCAAAGCCCCCAGTGGCCCTCAAATACATCAAATGCACAGCTAACCAGCAGAACATAGCAGCGTTTGAAGTTTATGAACTACGGTAGAAAAAAAACGAGAAATAGAAATGGGGAGAAAAAGCATGACTTCTAAGAGAGTTTAGGATCGAAAATCTAAGGAAAATTGGAACTCCGAAGCACAAGGAAAAGCAGACCCCTTTAAGCCCCCTTGGAGCCCTTTTGAACCCTGTTTATACCCCACAGACACGCTTTGATGAGGCATCACCAAATTCAAAGATAAGGGAAGATGTTTTGGGCACATCTCAGTGGACGCAAATTTGCCCCACTGCCCCCCCCCCCAAAAAAAAAGAACACCTTTTGCTGTCGCCGGGATACCCCGGGTGGGTTGCCCCCCATGCAGGTTTGCCCGGGTCGCCCGGTCGGGCGACCCTGGTAACACAGCAAATTTAGGAGAAAAGGTAATACAAAAAGATCCCCTGTTATTCAAAATATAGCCTGAGATACAAACATGACTAAATAGCTCTTGAGTACCACACCGATAGCCGCCAGCCTAGTAAATAAGCTCCACTTCTGTTTATATAAAGGACAGGAAAAGAATAGCTACCGTAGTCTAGGGGTGCTGAACCCGTTTTCTGGTTGAATGATAGAATTCTTATCAGGAGTAGAGCAGTGATTAATCACGGTCAATCATGGTTGGAAGAACAAATTTAACCCTAGATTCGGGTCCATCAAAGTCTTAATCTTTTAGGAAAAGGGGCACTGAGCATTTTTCCAATTATGATAGGGATTATTTGACAGTCCACTTCAGGGGCTGAGAGGGAAGGCTCATACGATCACCCTATTTCGTCAGCTAGACATCAAGTTCTGAATCAGCATAGGACATACTAAATGGATAGAGCAGAAAGCCTGAAGAAGTCAAGTTGTGATCTGGTAGTTAATCGTTCTAAGGGGAAGCAATCAATGCTGCCAAGTGCAAGGAAAATGAGCAATAGCGAGATGACAATGTCCAGAATGCACAATCACATTGAAGGCCAGATAATATCACAGTGTCCAGAAAGCAGAAATGCACCAATATAACACCAATGAAGAATCGTCACACTGAAAACCAATGTCAATGAGAGCTTGCTCTCGCCACCACCAACATGAGTGTCCAGGCCCTATCTCCCTACTTGGCGCCCAGCCTACTCCCTACACAGCTACAGTCTGCCTACTAATCGACAATGCAACCGTTGACGTCAGCAGCCCCCAAAGTACTTGAAGATGTCGCCCAATGCAGACCATCGCCAATACCAGGTATGTGCCCTCACATCATCATCATCACCATCCTTCTCTCTCTCCCCTGACTTACTCCCACGTCTTCCCTCTGTCTACCCGAAGACCACCCCTGCGCCTCACTGTGCAACCAAGCCCTCAGCCAGCTATGGAGGCTGGGCTATGAAGCTGCCCTCAGCAGCGCCCTGCTTCCACACACGACCGCACGTGCGCAGCACCTTGCTCCAGCGCTAGCAGCCAGCACGCTAGCAGAAGCTCCAGCAGCGCTGTCGCCAGCCAGCAAGTGCCCGAATGAGGCTCCAGGCAGCGATCTCTTTCCTATATGGAAAGAGCCTGCCTGCCTTGGCCTGGGCCTGGGCCCAGAAGCTTCCAGTAGGCCCCAGGATGCTGCGCCTCTGGTGCAGCTACTGGGCCTCATTCGGTTGGGCCTCCCAACTGTCTGTGTATGAGGCTGCAAATCTCGCCCAGGGCCTGCGCTTTCGGAAAAGCCTAGAAGGCCATGGAATTTTCTCGCTGCTCGGCCTGTGTTTCCTTCAACCAACTGGTGCGACGAAACTGCGTGGACCCCAAATACGAAATTGACAGCCGAGGGCTTCTCGTGATTTATTAGGCCCGCCTTCTCTTAGGGTGGGCGCAGATGCAACAGGGGCCCCTTAGGCCCGCCGAGGACCCAGATCCTCGCACAAGATCGTATTTAGGACTACCGTCTTCACCCGAATAGAACACCCCGTCATTATTGCTGCATCTGGACTGAAAATTGCCCCATACAGTGACAATGACCGGGCGTTCTATTCTGATGAATATGGTAGCAGTGCAATGAGCCTGACAATCGTGAGAAGCTTCATGCACTCAAAGCGAAACCAATCACAATACATAATACATCACAAAGCACTCAATGATGTCCCACAATAAGGAGCGAGTAACTAGAAGAGAGACAAAGGTAGATAAGCAGTAGAGAGGAGGAGGATATTTCCGTTAATAATCAATAACACAATCGAAACGACTCTTCAGTCCCCCCTTCACCTCCAGAATCTTTGATTGTGCATCAGATATGTGGCCATGGTTGACTTTTGAGAAATTTCTGTCTCCTGACCTACGCTTCCCGATTTTGGGCCCGACTCCTGATTTTCTTGGGGTCAACTTCCCCGTGTGGGCCACAGGTAGCCTCATTTGACCCTAGACATTGTGCCTATTGAGTCTATTGACCCAAGGACTTCAAAATTTCTCAAACTTCTCGAAGACAACAAATGTGACTTTTGACCCTTGAATGCAAATTTGGTACAAAGAAAATTACGACTTTGACCTATGTCTGTGTGGATTTTGAACTGAGTTCCATCGCAGAAATTCATTCTTCATTAAGTGCAGCCTTTCCTTTCGCTTTGAAGTTTTGTTCGTAACCCGTGATAATGTCTACAGTTGAAGTCCTTTCTTACTGAACCATTCAGGTTGGATCTTGTTCTGTTTCTGGGGTCTTCCTCTTCCGCCTGTGGA